CTTGAGGGATACGAGGGTGTGATTCTTGACCCTGACCATCCTATTGCGCTTCGACCGAAACTTCATCAAGACACCCTATTGACAGACTACGAAGCTCTCAAGAAGTGGGTCAAGAGCATCCCATTTATGGTGACAGTCGGTGTTATAATTCCGATCGGAGTTGTTGTCTTCCTCGCCAACTCTGCCGTCCAAACAGTCCGAAGTGCCAATCGAATCAAGGCGCATGAGTCAGGAGAGGCTGGGTTGAAGATCGAGCAGTACCGCATGCCCCTACGGATTAAGGAGATCCGAGAAGAAGTCGAACAAGCTTACGAGGTCCTTAACAGCTCACAGAACCAGCAATACCTGGCAACGTCAGATTCAGAAGATGATCTGGCCTATGATGTCGAGGATCGCAAGCTGCTGAAGAAAGAGCGCAGAATGTCGACCCCAGGACAGCCTACGCTTGCGCTGACCCCTGATCAGTTCGAGATGATTGAGAACTTGGATGCAGCTGGTTGGCGCAAGTTTCCTGTTCACATTCAGAAGCATCGACATAGTCACGCGGCTATTGTCGTGCGTATGGATAAAGAAAGCTTTGCAGATGGTTGGGTTGTTTTGAAGCACTTTGCTGGAAGTGAATTCCTCATGTAAGGGGAATATTCTATTGCAATGGATTATAATGGATTTATGCGCGATGCATTTGCGAGGCGTTGGGAATATCTTTAACACGGTTGGGATATATGGATAGAATTGGAGTTTTTACAAAATGCCTTTCTCAGATACAGGCAAGGGAACTTCTAGGACATATTAGCGAGTTTAGCGATGATACTCATTAATTCATGGGATAACGATGATTTATTAGAACTGTGTAATCGATCTCTAGGCAAAAAGTAGACCTAACACGGAGATATTGACTTCCATGTACGCTATGTCATTGTGCAGACCAAGTGACATTGATTCGTCATACTCTTACACCGTGGCATCGTGAGTCCCAGAACTGTCGTCATCTCACTGAGCCTTGGTGTTGCAGTCTGATGACGCTGTGATACAGCATCACGTGTTAATCGCCACATTCTCTCCCCAGATCAACCGACCCCTCATCACGGCCCAATCGGAAACTTGTGAGTTTCGTGATCAAGAAGCTCTTAATTGGCTGAACGGACCTCAATCAGCCGATTGCTCGTCCTTTTGCCTCCACTTTCTTCTAAGCTCCTCCTCTTTTTCTTCTTCCACAGCGGAGAAAGAAGCCCAGACCAGTCGAGTACTGCTACTGCTGCCAAAGTCTCGTGCTGCTTGCTCTGTTCTGCTCTGCGCTTGTCGAGGTCGCGAGGGTCTCCAGATCTAAACTTGATCACTCCATCATCAGCTCTTCTTTACTGTATTATTCTTCCCTTGTGTAAATTCTCTCGCGGCCCGACATAGCTGCGAGCTCCGCTTCTGACTTTGTCTTACTGCTCTCTTGTCGATTTCCCATATCCGGCTCTACGCCCCCCGGAGATAAGAAAGTGCTGGTGCTTAAGCCGAGGCGCCGGCTCAATTTTCCGCAACCACCAACCTCTTAGTGATCAACTTGATCCAAGAGCATCATCGAGCTCACGGGCTCATCTGGATAGGAATTGGGGATTCAATCAGCTCTACGATTTGTTTTAGGGCTTCTTTGCACAATTGATAGGTCAAGCCAATCGCCACTTGATCAATTGGACCTCTTCTACGTCGCTTCTCTTCGATTCTTTTTTTTCTTTCTTGACGAGCAGTATTTGCTCGAATCCGCGACAATGGTTCTCACTCATACGACAAACCATAACTATAACCATCCATTCCCGACTGTCACTCTCGCCTACTTTCTACGATACTCCTCGCCTCAACTGAATCCCTTCGCCGCCCATGTGCTCAGCACCGATACCATTGAGAGCTATGTCGACCCAAAAACCCGTCGACTTCACACAACTCGCATCCATTTGAAGAAAAGTCGAATGCCTGGTGCTGTGTACAAGCTACTTCCTGCCAGTGTCACCGGCGGTGGCTCTGGAGACAAGGCTTCATACATCCTCGAGACAAGTGTTGTGGATATCAAGGAGGGTTGGATGAAGACGGAGAGTCGAAACCTCAATTTCACCGGCGTGCTTTCTGTCATTGAAAAGCAAGAGTTCAACATCCCTGCCGAGGGCGCTAATCAGAATCCTAACGAGACTGCTGTGACGACTATGGTTCAGTTTAGGTCAAGACTTGGTGATAAAATTAGGGGCAAGCTGGGACAAGCCCAAGAGGACGGTTGGTTCAAGAATGGTATCATTGGTGGCTGGGGCACGAAGGGTATTCAGCGCAGCATCGAGAGCATCGCCTCTACCAAGACGCAGGATCAAATGGGAAAAAGCCGAGATGGCATGAAACTCGTCCTGGAACGATTGCGCAACAATGGCGTAATGGGAGTCCTCGAGACGATACGGCGAGAACGTCAGCGACAGCTCGCTTGAACGCATAACGATACGACCAACTGTAACAATGAACGACAAAGGCCTTTGAGCAGCACAACCTCGGGAGGGAAAGGTTCCTGATTGGCTGTGGACGCTCTGTGTATTATTATTGCTTTTCACCTGAGCCTGGCGTATGTGTCTTTTTTTTGGGTAGGGGAATTTGTGGAAAATCTGGAGATGATGCTGGAATTGGCCAGCGAAGCGGATGAGGGGACAGAATAACGTGCGATGACACGGCGCCTCTACTATATGTGGCATCCCCTCTCTTGTATTGTGTATGAAAAATGAATGGAAACCGAAATTCAAAGAAGTTTATTCACCAGTGATTGGCCGGTTGACTGTGAGATTTGAGCTTGCCTGACAGCTTAAATGAGGTAACAAGCTTTTGTCGTGTACGCCAATGTATGAGACAGCCTATGGACTTACCATATAGCAAAGGTATATATACATGCGATCCTTTTTTTGTCATATCGTAGACTTATGCATTCCTGCTCACAATACCAAGTGTATCTTTCAGTCGTACGTTTCGCCGCGTGGTTTTTCATGAGTGGTATCGGGCTCTTGCGAAATCTCTAAGACAAGCTGGCAAGTATGCCACACTGCAAAGAGGTATGGTTTTTTTCCAGGAAAGATCCAATCGCACCTGGTCTCGCAGGAGCAATACTGATGCCTGCGGGTATCAATGCGGCATAAGAGAAAGGGAGATGATACCGACGAGTTTTGCCACCGGTCCTGGTACGATTGGTCTACTGGTAAAGCATACCATGGCAAAAGGCAAATGGCGGAAGCTTTGAGTCGTCCTTATCATGTTGACTTTTTACGATGGCTCTTTGCAGCACAATATCAACTCCTGTCTTTGTTCCTCATTTTCCCTCAACACTGGTGTATACACTGCTATGGAAACCGTCTCCCCCTGACTGGCTTTATAATCCTCGGTGCACCGGCAAGTGCCTCGAATTCGACCCCTTGCCACTGTTCCAGAGACCTCCATCAGATACCCTGTTCCTAGGGCGGTTGTCGTTGCATACTTGTATCATATGAGGAGAGGATTGAAGTAATAAGTAAAAGGAGTGTGGTCAATTCAAGAGCACAGATTGGTCATCCTAAGTATAAGTTCAAGCCATCTGGTACACGGCACCAACAGATCCCTCGGTATCCTCAAAGAATCTATACAGGCCAAAATCTCCCTCCTTTTCCTTCTCAGTCAACATTTTACCGCCAGCTTTCTCAATGACAGGCCCGATGTTATCAACGTTTTCGACGAACCAGTAAACACAGAGACCTCCTTTACCGGGGTGGAAGTTACCAGTGTGGTCAGGAGCCTGCAGAATACCACCAGTCAAGCCAAGACTAGGGTTGAAGTCGAATTTCCTGAACTCGCCAGGATTCTTGTGATCGGAGTCCTTGAAGTTGAAGTTGAAAACAGTCTTGTAGAACTCTGCGGCTATAGAGGTGTAAGAGCAAGACATACTAGCAGTTGGCTAGGACATACCACGGCTAACATCTGTAGCAGGGATGCTCATCCAGACGGGAGTACCAAAGGCCGGTGGCTTCCATTCAGACATATTGGGCAATTGGGATGATATGAAGACGAATAAAGAGTTGTTTGAGAGCAAAGGCTGATGAGGAGAGTTCAACCTGAGGCCATTGAGATATCGAGGCCCTTTTTATACACCATATTGCGCGGTGGCTGCATCTTCAGACACTGAGATCACGCTTATTCACACCTTTCTGTCGCATTTGTAGCTGTGAGCCGTGAAGAAGGGAAGACTTTAGGCCGATGGCTTGAGCTAAGTGACGATGCTGGCACGTTCTCAACAATCAGAACGCGTTGGAGAAGCCTTCTTGACAGGGGTAGCGGACGCCAGCTGAGCACGAGAGCACGTGTTGCTTAGTAAAGGCCATACAGTGTTTGATTCACTGAAACTTGTTTAATTTTCGGATTATGTACAGAAGACTAAACTAAATGATTTGATACAATGCCAGGCGATACTGAGACACAGTGACAGTTGGAGATTGGGAGGTGAAGTTTGGTTGTGCTATAGGTAGCTTGTCTATATCACCGGAAAATATTGTTGATTATAATCTATCCCCTTCATTAGTTCAGCTTCTGATGGCCATGGCTTTTAATACTGTGCCCGTGCTAGGTAGGGGGAGGAAAGAAAACTCGAGACTTTGATCCTAAATGATAAAAAGACTTGAGTAAATTAATACAGTTTTTAGCCCAAGCTTAGGATACCTTTTGCTGAGTTTATTTTGACAGCCCATATCAAGGCCTGATGTTTTCTTGCTCCTCGAGGCCGTGCCCCTCCATCTCTCCACTCCAAAGCCTGGAATTGTGAGATGGTGGGGTAGACCTGGTAGTTAGATTACCTACCTTAGATTATGCGCATCGGCCCGTCACGTCACTCAATCCCATTGCGATCATCAGTATTTCGGTTCTTTCATTTTCCCTCCTTTCTCGATAAATAAGCTTATTGGTATTTTTTTCTCTTCTCGCGATCGACCTACTCTGTTTCGTATCACTGGATCATCGTCGAAATCATGCCAGAACAAGTAAACGTCCTCTTTGTGTGTCTCGGCAATATTTGCCGCTCACCCATGGCTGAGGGCATCTTCCAGAGCCTTGCCAAGCAGCCGAATCTCAAAGATAAGATTGGGCGTATCGACTCTTGCGGTACAGGTATGAACATCGGAACAACTGACCAGAATTCAACTGATTGTTCTCACTGTAGCTGCCTATCACAGCGGAGAACCCCCGGATGACAGAACCATGGCTACCCTCGAAGCCAATGGTATAAATGATTACGACCATCTCGCGCGGCGCGTATGTTGCCCATCCATCTCACCCGCAGCGCAATCTTGCTGACGCAATATCCAGTTCCACCCGAGCGATTTCAACACCTTTGACTACATCTTCGCCATGGACAGATCAAACCTCTCTGATCTTCACAGACTACAGAAAAACGCCCCAGACTCCAAAGCTAAGGTTATGCTGTTCGGCGAATTCAGCGGGACAAAGCGACCCGAGATCGTCAACGATCCTTACTACGGCGGAGACGACGGTTTCGCAAAGGCGTATGAGCAGTGCACGCGGTTCTCTAAGAACTTTCTGAAGGAGACTTTCGGAGAAGAGTAAATGGATGATATTGATGGAGTTGGGGGGTGGTGATGGATTTAATACCCGATACTTGTACATACAGATGATCAATGAAGGGGAACGAGGGAGGCTACACATTAGAGCAGACTAGGTAGATTAGAATATTTATTGACACTTCAACAAAGTTGATGATTATTGGCTGAATGATTCCCAGCAAGACGGTTCGATTAAGTTGAGGGTAGGTTATTCTATGTCGATCCTACAGGTTGTGTCTCAGAATCCATGAGGTCGGTTTCAGATAAACACCCATGGATGCTGGTTTCGAAGCAAGAAAACGAAGGAAACTCGGCGAACTTTTCTCTGGGCCACTTGTTCTGGAATACTGCGATCACAAGCTTTATGAATATTTCTGATACCTTCACAATGATCAAACGAGGCCAGGAGAGTTGCCAGAGACATTAGAAGCAATACCGTACACCACAATGTCTGAGAGAGTTCTGTGACAGTCCCACTTGGCAAGCTTCAGCCCTATGCTCCCAGGGCTGACGATGCAGCGGCCTAGTGGGCGGCCTTGATCTCGGGCTGAAGAACAGCGTCACTTAATTTGTCTGATCTCACTCAGAGTGTCTCTCATCTCTGTCATGTTGCGTCGGTGATGCCGGACCCAGAGACTATGATAACAACACGAGGTCATATTGTACACCTGGCAACTTGACGGCATTGGATCCTAATTCTCAGTGGAGGCTTTACGTGAGGCGGATCTCCCAGATGCCGGGTGAGATTGGATGAGATTGCTGACCATCGGTGATGGCCTTTAACAGACTCAGCCCCTTGGTGGCACAGGACGGCGTGCGGCTGGATACACGACCTAACGAAGCGGGAGGTGAGTGCCGAGATACCTTTGTTAGGCTGTCTCGTCTCTTGTTAGGAGGGGATAAGCTTTAGACTTCGTAAAGAAACGCGTGTTTTTAAATCATCAAATTTGAGTCTGTGTCCTCTGAGAGCCCAACACGACAAGTTCCCCTTTTTGCAATAGATGAGGCCGAGCCGTTGCATGCATCACTGCGACTTGAGAACCAGGGTCGTTGTCGCGCGGCTATCAAGTGAAGAGCTTGATTCGTCCTCTCATTGGCCCAGTGCGAGTGGGGGCCGCAAGCCGAGCAAATCAGCCACATCACCAGGCGGTGACTTCGCTGCGGGGTCCCTTTTTTCATACCTTAGCGGCTTCGGGTCACTGTGGATCGGTTCTAGCAGCCCTGAAAGCCCCTGCTAAAACAGCAACGCAATGCTTCGTCCAGTAGCAGTCCAGAGACGGGCTCAGCAGCTGAGGGAGCTATTTCCCATTCCACTCGTTCAACCCGCGGGACCCAACCAACCAGCAACTTAAGGTACATACATATATCGCAAACGGCGCTGACTGTTTCTTTGTCGTGTTCTTACACAGCATTTCTAAACTCTTGTTCTTTATATACCTTGTCTTTCCCTATAATATTCACTCCTCAACCGACTCAAACGGTCGTTCCTCTTTGACCAAACCTTGTCGCATTCGAAGCTTCTACCTTCCATCTGCCCCGCATCCAAGATCATATCAGAACAGCAACCATGTCGGACCTTCAAGGACGGAAGGTCTTCAAGGTCTTTAACCAGGACTTTATCGTCGACGAGCGCTACACGGTCACCAAGGAGCTTGGGCAGGGAGCCTACGGTATCGTCTGGTGAGTGCGCATCCTGTTACTGCTCGTAGCACTCGTCTCTTGCTTGTGCTGCGTGCGACTCCAAACTCGTCTTCTACCCCGCCGCCTCTGCATTTGCTGACGATAACCCCGCCTCTCAGTGCCGCCGTTAACAACCAAACCAACGAGGGTGTCGCCATCAAAAAGGTCACCAATGTCTTCAGCAAGAAGATTCTCGCCAAGCGCGCTCTGCGCGAGATAAAGCTGCTTCAGCACTTCCGAGGCCACCGCAACGTGAGTTCTGCCGAGGCGCAACGAGTACCAGGATCAAGCAAGGACGCGTATGCTAATATGCTCACAAATAGATCACATGTTTGTATGACATGGACATTCCTCGACCCGATAACTTCAACGAGACGTATCTGTACGAGGGTCAGTAACGAGCCGAGAAGAAACAATGACCATAAGCTGACACAGCGTAGAGCTGATGGAGTGTGATTTGGCTGCCATCATTCGATCTGGCCAGCCTCTTACCGATGCCCATTTCCAATCCTTTATCTACCAGATTCTTTGTGGTCTGAAGTACATTCACTCCGCCAATGTGCTCCATCGAGATCTCAAGCCCGGAAACCTGCTCGTCAATGCCGACTGCGAGCTCAAGATTTGCGATTTCGGTCTTGCCCGAGGTTTCTCAGTCGATCCCGAGGAGAACGCCGGATACATGACGGAGTACGTTGCTACCCGATGGTACCGTGCACCCGAGATCATGTTGAGCTTCCAGAGCTACACCAAAGCGAGTATGTATGACCCGAAAACACTAGAGCTAGTGGATTGTCTTACTGATCCGATGTAGTTGATGTTTGGTCTGTTGGTTGTATTCTCGCTGAGTTGTTGGGTGGCCGACCTTTCTTCAAGGGCCGTGACTACGTCGACCAGCTCAACCAGATTCTTCACATTCTTGGAACGCCTAACGAAGAGACCCTCTCTCGCATTGGCTCACCCCGTGCCCAGGAATACGTCCGCAACCTACCTTTCATGCCCAAGAAGCCATTCCCTAGCCTGTTCCCTCAGGCCAACCCTGATGCTCTCGACCTTCTCGACAAGATGCTCGCTTTCGACCCCTCGTCTCGTATCAGCGTAGAGCAGGCTCTCGAGCACCCTTACCTCCACATCTGGCACGATGCCTCAGACGAGCCCGACTGCCCTACCACATTCAACTTCGACTTCGAGGTCGTTGAGGATGTTGGCCAGATGAGAGGCATGATTCTGGACGAGGTGATGCGATTCCGACAGACTGTCCGCACTGTTCCTGGCCAAGGTGGCCCCGCCGGTCTCCAGAACCAGCAAGGTGTGCCCGTCCCTCTGCCTCAGGGCAACGGCCAATGGACAGCGGAGGACCCCCGACCACAGGAGTATCAGGGCCATGGAAATACGGGGCTCGAGCAGGATCTCCAGGGAGGACTTGATGCCTCTAGGAGATAAGGAAACGTATTCGCGTATGATAAGAGTCGGATAGTGTCTTAGAGGAGGTTCAGAGACGTTGCTTCAAGTTCAAAATGAGAGAGGTACTTTAAGACAGGGAAACAAGGATAAGGCTTGGTGATATCAAGAATTTAATGCCTGATACTGGGAGGATGGGATAGGGAGGAATCCGCCTCTAGAAGCTGATGAGGTATGCTTGTACATGGGTTGAGGGTTGAACAGCGATTCCTCCGCCTTCAATTTCCATGTCTGTTTTTCCCAACGAGAAACAAGATGAATACGATATTTCTTTATCTGTTATATGCTATGTGCCGGTCCCAGTAGTGATGTTACTCTATATGATGAGCACAAGGTCTTCCAACGTCTAGATGCTTATGTCTACTCTACAATATTTCCCTTCAGCCAACAGTCTCATGTACGAGCTTGGCCATAGCGATGACCTTTTCTTCTTCTAATCTACGTGCAACGATTTGGAGACTGACTGGTAGTCCATGGACTAGCTCTGCGTCGTCTGTATAGTGTTAGTTATATTCGGCCTTATGGCTGGAGCGGGCTACTCACATTCTTCATTGACAGACTTGCACAACGGACTCAACGGCTCATACGAAGCGTCAAGCTTGTCAACGTCCTTATCGACGTTGATACCGGTAGCAAAAGAGACAGCTGAGTAGTCAACGACGTTGAAAACACCAGTATAAGCAACTATCAATCATTAGTATGTCAACTCGTCTCATCAATGACCTAAATACTTACCATGTCTTAGGCTTCCATGCTTTCCGGTACTGTAAGGGGTTGTTGCACTGACGATAGCATCAATGCCCGCCTTGTTCCAGCGGTCGAGATAGTGGTTCTGGAAAGCTGTTCGCTCGAGCTGAAGCTTCCACATTTCGGAGGTACTCAATTCTCTCGCGACTCGATAGGCTTCCATCTCAGGTCTCCAAGGCTCATCTGTACGCTCAAGTTCCTTTCGGATAGTTTGTCCACCATCGGCAGTGAACATGCGCTGAAGAAGTTCACTGCCTTCCTTCTGGTCAACAGGATCCCATTCGATGATGGTATGCCCCGCCGCTTCGAGCTTCTTCTTGGCGACCTGGAGAGCTCGAGTTACTGGCGGTGTTGGCCGGACCATGCCGTCGTGCCACATGAATGCGATCTTTAGCTTTTCAGGGAGTTGGGCTGGGCGCCAGGGGATGGGGAGACACTTGGGGTCGACGAGCCATGGCTGAGAGTCAATGACGGCTCTGCTGTAGAGCTCAATGTCTTGAAGAGTTCGCGCTAAGGGGCCGTTGACGGAGAGAACGGCCTCTTGGCCGGGCATGCCGGAGCGACAGTTGCGCACTGGGAATCGGCCTGCCGAAGGACGGATGGTGAAGATACCGGTGCAAGCAGCAGGAATACGCAATGATCCGCCTATGGCAGTGTAAGTTTATCGTTGCCAACTCGAGAGCGTGGAACTTACCGATATCAGATCCAACACCAAGAGGACTTCCCTTGAATGCAATAAGGGCTGACTCTCCACCTGAACTTCCACCGCTGGTAGTATTCCTATTCTTAGGATTCACAGTTCGTCCAAAAGTGTTGTTGACGGACTCTGCAATCATCATAGCCGTAGGTACATTTGTCTTGACGTAGAAGACAGCACCGGCATTCTGAAGAACTGTTGCAAGTGCAGAGTCAGACTTGGCTGGGTCTCCAACATGAGCCGTGAATCCAACTGTAGAGTCAAGACCCTCAAGGTTGAAGTTGTCTTTAAGAGAAATGGGAAGACCGTGGAGAGGGCCAACAGGGGTTCCAGTTTTGGCGAGATGCTCGTCTAGTTGACGGGCTGTTTGGAGCGCGCGCTCAAAGCAAGTCTCTGCAAGACAGTTTGTCTGTACATCGTGT